ATATAACGAAACAATAATACGGGTCGGATCGAGTTCAGGCATGGGGTTTGATCGACATTGACGGGACAATGAAGTGGGAAACAGAAACAGCTAGGCAACAATTGCGATTATTATACAGCTTTAAAAAAGTATCATAGATGGAGTAGATCATTGTTTCCTAGAACACCTTATTCAGCTCATGATTCAAGTCTCGATCAGGACAGCATCACGTTCAAGTTCGTGGTTATGATATAAGCGGCTCGGAAATGAACTCGTTCTCGCCTCGATTTTTTGATCGACACAAGAGGGAATGCAAATTCGTGGAACGAACGGGAAAGTGAGCAATGATTTCATACGCTGATCCTTGGGTGTGTGACTATGGGCCACGAGAAATTCCGTAGGCCGCACCCTGATTTTTACAGACAGTCATTTCAAGAAAAAAAAATCCCAGCACATGTATAACGGCCGGATAAAAATATGAAATTTCGCAGCAAAAAATGATCGTTTGCATGGATAGAAACCGAACTCGAAATTTATTCGCGCCTCTTCCACCACCACATTCACTCACACAATATCGTGTTTTGGAGATAACATTCCTTGGTTGCAAACTGAAAAATGATTTATTTTTTATTCAATTCTAAGCGTCAATAAATTGCTCGTTCCATCTTTCAATGGAACGAGTTCGAATCTGAGGCGAGTCTTGCTAATAGACGGAAGAATCAATTATTCAGCTATACCTGAATGATTGATAATCTTTATTATTGTCCGCTCCTGCAGCTGCGTTAAAAAAATTTCAAATGAAAAAGCGATCCCAATATTTCAGAAAAAAGGGAACCGTAGTCATGCAATTTTAAGAACTCATTTTTTGTTTGATTCGATTTTTTCAAAATGGAAAATTAGAGATAACATTACCAGGAAAATTTGTCTTCAAATAGCAATAAAAGCTGCAGTTGCTGGATGTTTTTATTGCAATATGTGCTAGTTAAATGGGCAGAACTGTACTTTTCTGTTTACCTTTGAAAAGAAAAAAACTGGAGAGCAGAAAGGACCCTTCAATGCATTTTTCATCATGGATCTAGGACAAATCAAGACAGACAATTTGAGAGGGCCAATCTGAGACACAAACTTTTGGATACAGGGACAATTTGAGACAGAAAACCTCTTGAGACAAGGACCGCTTGAAACAGAAACTTTTGGCGACAGCAAGGACAATTTGAGACTAATACTTGTTGAGACATGGACAAATTGAGACAAATGGATTTGGTTAATTCAAGACATTTGCGGCAGATACATATTGAGAAAAAAATTACTTGACTGTGTTTCTCCCTATATAATGTTTAAGGAGTGAAAATTTTAAAAATGTCACTGTTTGGTGACAAGTCCATGATCCCAGGATGTTTCTCCTTTTTGTCCATCATCACTGTCATGAGTTTTCCTCATCAAGGAAAAACACAAATCTTTGAACCAATGTAAGAAGATTCCTCTCCTCATAAAGACATTTTTGTCTTGAATTTTCCTTGTCTCAAATTGTCCTTGTCTCAAATTTTTCCTGTCTCAAATTGTCCCTGTTTCAAATTTTCTGTCTCCATTTGTCCAGTCTTGAATTGTCTGTCTCAATTTGTCTGTATCCCAATTTTCACATAACAGGAGCTCTCAAGTACATTTATTTTCAAAAATTTCCCTGTTGGGCCTCATCTTGGATCTACAGTACTGTATATCCAAAACGCAGCGCAGCAGGGACATTTTCTAGCGCAATATTGCGAGAAAGCACCTATACAGAAAATGATTAAAAATTATTTTCATGTTGTCCACCCTGTAAACTAGGATTCCAAGAAAATTTTGGAATTATGAAGTAAGTGACTCCGTTTCTTCACCCGCAAACGCATGTTGCCATTTAAAGAACTGAAATATTATGATGCACCTTTTACAACCGACAGCGTTTTATACATTGGCATAAATAAGACATGAAGTCAATAAAGGGGTAGTGGGCGAGTTTATGATACTTATGCAAGAACAAAACTTGTAAAGATTTTCTTTTCCTGCTCTCGGGTCTCGATTATCATTCGTGTTCCATAAACGGGCCGAGAAACAAGGAATTGATTTCTTCAATGTGAGACGAAATGGAGAAAGATGTTGTTTACGGCATTCGATAAAGGTGTGATTTGAATCGTGGGTTGAACAGGAAATTCAAAAGGCCCATGCTTTTCGGTGAAAGGGGTTTTTAGGAATCAATATGCGAAGTAAAATTTGGTTCGGACGAATTGAAAAAACGATTTTCCGAATGCGCGCACTGAACGTTATTCTGACAAATACAATGAATACGGTATAATTCGTTCCAACTTCTCAGTTGATATATTTTTATAAATGTAACCACTAAAAAATGTTTGTACTGCAGTTAATACCAGGTTTTTTTCCCGCTACATTATTGAGAAATACTTTTTGACGTCCGAAGAAGTTTCAAACTTTTATTTGGAGAATACAGTATTTGGAAGACAATGCTTTAGAACAATGTTAAAAATGTTCTTCAAAATGTATGAAAACATTGCATTTTCATGACTTCTCGTGTAATCAATATTGAAAAATGTGGGTTTACGACCCGTTTCCAAGAAATTATTTCAAGGGAAGTGGTTGCGAGAAGATTGATTCAATTAAAAATTACAATGGTTATTTGTTTAGAAATCCTCGCCATGAGCACGTGAAATTGAAATTTTTAAAAATATCTAGAAAAAAAAGGTCACCAGAGTTTCAGGGACTATTCTTTGACTTCTTTGGAAAGGAATGAACTCTTTCGAATTTTTTGCCCAAACACAAAAATGGTCCTACACTCAATATTTTTCTGACAGAATATATTTGTCAAAATTATTTGTATGTATATACTGTACCTCTACTCTGGATTATTGCTTCGGTTTACCCTAATCTTGAGATAATGTCGCAAAAGCAAATTTCTTGTTGCAAAATTGGTTGAAAACGCAGGGTATGTCCTTCAGTTATTTGATGAAGTCTTCTACTAATTCACGATGCACTGTAATATTCTTTGGCATTGTATGACATCTTAAATTTGCAGGTGAGTTAAATGAATAGTTTTGAACGAATCAATCTCGGGAATGAAAATTGCGGATTTATACTGTACAATGATTCACAGTCTACAATGCGACAAATCCTTACACCTTTTCAAGTTCAAGAAAAAAAAGGGGTTTCTGCTCGAAATGTTTGAGATGAAGTTGGTACAACTGAAGCAAAAGCAAAATCAAAAGTTTCCCTTGGTTCTGAAGAGATATAATTGAATAAACTGACGTCCTACATTCTTTCACAATCAAAATCGCTTTTATTTTTAAAATACATTAATATGGGTGTTTCTAACGATCGAAGGCGTCTTATTTTTGAAGAAATGCTCAAAAATAAGACGAGTATGGTCTTTTTTTCGAGCATACCGTAAATAATTTACAGATTCAACCTTGAGTCAATGACGATGGAAAGTTCTCCCTATTATCCAGCGGAACTACTTTATTTAAAATAACCCTCAAAAGACTGTATGCTGAAATCCTCGTACTCTCAATAAAAAAAGACAAACTTTCAGTGATCTTCAAGTTTTCAATCTCAAAGCAGTGCCCTATGATGATTCATGGATGAGAATAAGTCAAGTCTAAAAATTACCAAGTCATTTTTTCCATCAGAGGAAGAGCGGTGTCTTTTTTTTTTCTGTGTGTGTGACGCACATCTCCGCGTGGCACTCATGAATTTTCCTGAAAAGAAAAGCCAAATCGAAGAAACGTCTTCGACGTTGAAGTGCGAACCATTGCGACACACTACCTACACGTCAGGAATTATAAAGTCCAATGATCACTTACTCCATGTACCAAGAATCTTACGAAAAAAGTAAGTGAAAAATTCTTCGTTTTTTTTTAATGAAGGGAAAATCTGCATTGAATGATTTGTGCATACATGTGAGGAATGAACCGATAAAAAAGAGATTCTCACAAAATTTGCTGTATTAGATGTTGCCGGTTCAATCCGAAGGATTCGATTATATTTCAATTTTGGGAAGCTTGAGCAAGTTAAGTAACGATAACATTTGAGGAATTAAGATTCATATGAAAAAATAATTTGAACATGACAAGTTAATGCTATATATTACCTAAAACCTTTAATAATATAGCTTTTATTCGCTTAATAAAATTAACTATTGTAGAAACTAGATTTCGAAATGTCGTGGCAAAAAACGTGTCACCGTGTATTTCTTACTTTTTAATTAAAAAAAACCACATGGAAAGGCTGGCTATCGTTTTAGTGTCTCAAGTCATTCATGTGTACTTTTTATCCTCATTTGCTATGGATGTTTCACGAACAGTGCTGTGCTGCATTTTCGCCTTAGAGTACTTCTGCTGTTAGTTTCCTTCTATTTCTCATATTTGCCCTACTCTCCGGGATTCATTATTCAATCACTATTGCAGAAAAGATCATGAAATTTTGAATAATGTCCTAGCACGTAAGGTCCCAAGTACCCCGAACATCCGCGGATGATGCCCAGACACGTGAACAATTTAATTTGCATTACAAAAAATCTGCGTCAACATTTACAAAATGTTTCAAGATTTGGATGCTTCGCCAAAATCTACAGAAAAATTTAAAAATGGCATTCAAAAAATGTTGCTATTGCATGAAGCAATTGCTGCTATTTATGCTGGACAAAAATTCAAATTACAGTGTGTATCTTATCAATTTAATTTAAATCATTATCCAAAACAGATAATCTTAATTTCCTAGGGACTTTCCATCAGCTATGGAGAGTACAATATATCGCGATGTGTCTGCTTGTTGCGTTTTCCTTTAGAATTGCAGATAAATGATTATTGAGTTTCTCACGCTGAAACGGTTGTGGTCATCATGCATTATAGGTCTGCTTGAAAACAAGATGCTCGGGAACATCAATTACATTTTATGAAGAAGCAAATAAGTCAATACCAATGAAGGTAATGTACTTTTGGATTAATAATGAACGAAGGGATTTTCTAAACCAATGAGGATTACATTAGTGCTTTGGGAAATGCATTATCGAAACGATACTCGTTCTTGAACTAGATACTTCATGAGAAGCGTGTACATTTAATCCCCGCAATAATCTTCGCGTAAAAGCAGGGTCGGTTCAATTCTTTGGAAACTCGGAAAAATGGGCGATCATATTACTGAAAGCAACGTTTTCTCGATTCTGGAAAAAATTTGCGAGTGAGTACATCACTTGTGTAAAAAATCAGCATCAGAATGTAGAGAAATTCCGCACGATGAGTTGAGCAAAAATTTCCAAAACAATTTCTTCGTGCCGGTCTACTATAATTGATTTTTATTTCCAGAAACGAGGGTTCCTTGAAAATTAGCGAGTCAGTTTTGATTGGCATTTCAAAGGCCCTGGCAGATTTGAAGCAGATTTGGGCGAAGCTCGGTTTGTCCCAGGATGAACAAGCCGAAAAACTCGCAGAATTTTCACAACGCATTTTGGTTAGCTTCCTTTTTCTTCTAAACACACAACAATATCTTCGAACATTGTAAATCTGTCGAACTATTGATTACTCCAAAATGTTTGCTGTTGTTTCAGGACAGTATTGATGAATATTGCGACAATGTGCAAAACGCGCTTCGTGATTCCATAAATGCTAATGTGAAGCTGAGCGAGGCGATTGACTCTTTATGCAAAGAAATGAACCTTGATCGAACGAAAATGCGTAAGTTTTTACTGCACTCATAATACAGTATATATTTTTTCTTCTCAACCCCGATAAAAATATATCGGACGGTTCATTATTTACTCATTCAGATGAAATCGTTGGATCAGAGGACACAATTTTCCAGCTTCATCAAAAGTTAAGCACCGAATTCAACTGGTTGCTGGGCATCAAAGAAAGCACTTGCGCCGAAATGACGGCGTTGCGTCAAGAGGAACAAGAGTTGATTCGAACCATGGAAGACATTCCTTGTCTTCCGTACGACCCCGAAAAATTCCCAACAGATCTAGATTTCAGGGAAATCAACAGTCAGTTGTCAATGTTGAAGGCCGAGAAAGAAATCCGAAGCCGAAGAGCCGCCGAATCCCGCTTGAAAATTCTCCACTTTTGGGATCTACTCGGGAAGAAGCCGACGGAAGCGTTTGAAAAGGATATACTTTCTAATAAAATGGTCCTGTCGCAAAAGAATTTGGAGCTTTTGCAGAAATTGGAACTCAATTTGAGAGGAAAGAGGGACGATGCCAATAAGGAGCTTCAAGCGAAAAAAGAAGAAATTGAGTCGCTGTGGAAACGTTTGGATTATGACCCGCTGTTGAGGGAGAGTTTTCGAAAAAATTTCGGCATCACAGACTGTCAACTTGCCAAGGTTAAATAATTACAAATTTCTTCATTAGAATTCAAACATGCTCTCATATCAGACGAAAACCACTCAACAGGGAAACCCCCTATACATTAATAACCCCTAAAAATTGATCACTTTGCTGTTACTGTATATTATTTCTTATACTCTGAAAAAAAGTATGATGTGCAGTATTCAATAATCCTTGTTAAAAGGAATATTCAATTATTAATCTCTGTAATTATTGTTGGCGACCATAAATTGTCGTCTAGAAGAAAACATCAAATAATTTACGTGATCGCTGAAGCTTTTTTGAGTCCATTTTGGATTAATTTCTTTCGTTTTTGTAAGAAGATTTTTTGTAGCATTTTCGCCGATTATTGCTTTACCTATAAGTAATGGGCCAATTATAGTCTTACCATCACTTAGAATCAAATCCATGCACACCAGCCAACAATTAGCTTATTTGTTTTCGTTCCTCTCAATTTAAAGATGAATGCAGAAATCGATCGTCTGCAAATGAAAAAGCTGCAACACGCGAATCACTTCATAGATGCATTGCGCACGGACATTGAGAACATGTGCCAGAA